ATTTTGACTTGAAATGCTCATTTGGGGCTTCTCAGAAGTATTAAAAGGCAAGAAGCAGCCAAGAGGAGCACTGGCCCACAATGGCACCCACCTGAGAGGTTCTGGAACTGAGCTCAGGCTGAGAAAAGCACGGCATACACTTATCTTTGATTTTAAGAACCCTGTTTGGTTTAAGAAAAGATTTAAAGTGTTTAAAAATGCACTCATTCAACAAAAAGCATGAAATCTGCAATTGTCTAGATGCCTTTTTTATGTTCATGCCCCACAAGAAGTAAACACATTCTAGTCTCACAAAGGGCATTTACTTACAACTCCACCCGCCCCACTTTCCCCCTTGATCTCTCTGCCCCAGTCTTCTTGCTCTGCAAACCAAGGAGCCAGCACTGAAGCCGGGGTCAGTGACATCTCATACTTTGAGAAGATATGCATGCTTTAAATCGGAATTCTGGCATCCAACCTCTCATAAAGCTTATCTTGTAAAGAATAATATTTTGCCCGTTTAACAAAAATTTACTGTGGTTATAAATTGTAAACCTTTTACTCTGGAAACCAACCCCTTGTAAAGCTTATCTTAAGCTGCAGAGTGAAATCTTGGGCATGTTTAATCAAATCTAAAGCCAGCAAAGTAATTATTTTGGATTATCATAACAGGTTTTACATACTTTCTCTCTACTACTTGTGAATTCTAGAAAAAAATATTTTCTAACCACTTGCTGGGTGGGTGGGGGTGAAATTAACCCCTTGTGAAAAATGATGGGCAGGGAGAAAATTTGCTGAAAATTTCAAGAGATTGCTGCTTACTTTACATAAACTTAGAAGGTGGTCACAGGGTTTTTATATATCCCCCCCCCTTTTTTAAGGAATTGTTGCCCATGGCTTTGTTGCATGCAGCACTACTTCTGTTCTGCTGCAGTTCCTCTTCCACCAAAAATGTTATTCATCTCGCTGTCCAATGAAGTAAAATTACACAACTGACCAAATTAATTATGTATCTTATCTGTGAGTCCTGGAAGACCTGCTCCCTGCCCTGCAGGTCTTTTTCCCACCTGGCTGGGGGGCAGGGGTGGGGACACAGCCTTGACTGACTCCAGCTACAAAAGCTAAGGCTGGTGAACAGACTCTCGCACTTTGATATTGTTTAGGGAGATTTGTTGCAGTTGTTTTTTGAATCTTTATTTTAGATCTTATTGTGATTTAGGCGGAAATTGTCCAGTTGGTTGTGTATTTTTTTAGTGTTTATTTATTGTTAATGACTACTTTTGTTATGTTGTAGTTATGTATTTTTTCATGTTTGTAAGCTGCCATGATCATGGTTTGAACTGTGGAAAGGCGGCATACAGATAAAAGTATGTATATGTAGTTTTCTACCCTCATTCATTTCATTGCAAAGGAAATATAATGTAAATGTGGAAGGGGAAAACAATCAATTAAGTATTGTTTGCAGACTGAAATAAACAGCAGCAGCAAATACCAATCGTATTTGAGAGATTGATTTCATGGAACGAATAAAAAAAACTTTAGCAGTTTCTGTTCCCATGGCAGTTTTCATCAGAATTCTTCAACATCCCTGCCCATGGTTGAGCCTTTTGTGGTAAAGACATGCTGTCAAAAATTAATAAATAATAATAATACTGTGTTGTTGCGCTTTTTTTTTTTTTTACTATGCTTTGTATTTTTGTGTTTTTATATTGTAAACCAACCGGTAATCCTTGGATGAAGGGCAGTATAGAAATTTAATAAATAGAACATCACGAAGAAGAAGAAGAAGAAGAAGAAGAAGAAGAAGAAGAAGAAGAAGAAGAAGAAAAAGATATCGAGGAACCGAACAGTGGTTTCTGAAATTGGTCTCTTAGCCAGGGGCAAGTTTTCTCTCCATCTATGTTTTGTTTTAGCGGAGTGTTATCCAACTTCTTTTTTAAAAGCATCTTTCTGTGCTTACTTTTATCTTCCTTTCTCTGCTTTGCTTTCTTTGATTCCTGTTTGACTTGCCTAATACTGAATTATCAAAAACTTCATAATGGATTGAACAGGGCTCCACAGATTATCAGCAGATGACTGTTCCATCCATTATGAAATGTTCTGCAGTGCCTTTCTCATTATGCATAAAGTTCCCTGGGATTTTTGTCTATTCCGAGAGGAAGCATCCTCCCTCATATTGTATTTTCCTTCTTTAATTTAGAGTACATCCAGATGCTGGGGAAAGGGATACATTGAGCTTCCTGCCCCCACCCCCTTTTTTTATTGCGGTGAATCAGAACTGGCCTCTGGTTCTCTGGATTTAATGCATAGCCCATACATATGGTAGTTTCATGGCTAGCTTACCACATTTCCCCTACCTTCAGAGCAATCAACTAAGTCCCTGCAAGAAGCATGCACGAGAGTTAGAACATGTCAGGGTGATCTTACTATTTTCTTTGTTTAGCCTGTGCCATTTCATTTATTTTTGCGCTTTCATAAACTAGTTGGAAAATTTTATTAGCGATCTGCCAGGGTGGTGATAACACCCTGTTAAGACATGGTCTCACATTTAAGATCTAGACATGATCTGAGACACGTCTTTACAATTATCGCAAAAGGTTTTGGCGATACAAATAGCATCCGCTGAGGGGATCTAAGTGGGAAATTTCCTCCAAATGAAAAGAGCACTTTCAAAGGAAGGGTTTTCCTCAGAAGTGCAGCAGCAGCAGAAAAGTTAAATTCCTCCTCACCAAACCTGCTTTTGGTCTCAGTAATTGTTGTCATCACCCAGAACAGCTGTTTTTTGTACAATTAAAAAAACAACCATGCACATTCAATGTAAAGATGCATTCAATGTCACAGGTTGTTGTTTGCATCCATCTGTTTCCAGAGACAACAGAGTGCACCTCAAGGGGTGAAGTCAAACCGCTGCATTTGCGCACCAAAGTGACACCCCCTCCCCGGGTGCAAGCACTAGATTCTTGAAATGTAATCTTATCATTCCGCTTGCTTATACCTTTACGTGGCTACTAAAGCCTGCAGCCCTGCTTGCCAACCCACTACCATCCCCCCACATTAAATCCATAGACTAGAGCTTCCACTTCCTAAGCTCAATTTTCACCTTCCCAACCTCATTTCTGAAGCCGCTCTCTCTTCTGCAGTCCCACTTTGCACCCATTTTCACCCGCATATCCATGCCTCCTCCTTACTCTGTGTGCCTCCCTTCTCACTTCCATACCATAGCCTCTGCTCTTGTGCAATCTGCCTTCTCTTTGGCTCCCCTCCCTTGCAAATCCAGGATTCTGATCCTCCAATGGGGACTGTGTGACAACAGCATTCCCTTTTTATGTATATAGCAAGATTCCATTGATTTTTCCCACACACACCCAAGTTTAGAGGCTCAGCACATATGAGTAATGTCATAAGCAAACTGGGTGCCCACTTCTGAAACCAAAAGCTAGTGCTCTGCCAAAACCTATCCTCCAGTTTCTCATTGGTTTTCTTCCCTGTATGAAAGAAGCTTCCATTTTTTCTGCATCCCTCTCAGGGCACTAAATAATTTCTTTAGAACTTCAGCACAGGGTTTTGTGTGTATTTCACTTTCCCAGCAAACATTTCTCAAGCCTCTCTGCAGGCTCCCCAGCTACCTGTGCTTCCTGAGCTGAAAAAGCCCTATGGTAGGAGTTACCTAACAATGTCTTCCCCTGGGCTTTGGTTGAAACATGGGCACCTTGGGAGGCTGCAGAGTACAGACCGCTGGGAAAATGCTTTGTAGTGTGAAAGGAAGGACACTCACAAACACCCCTTGGTCACTTTGAAAGTAAGGAAAGGGCAGCAGCAACAACAGCAAACCCCACACCACCCATGGGGATGCCTCTTTGGTTATTTCTGAATCAAATTTATCCCTCATCAATTGACGGAGAATGGTTTGGGGAGGGGATGCAGGAGACATTGTTTCAACATCAGCTCCCCTAGACAAGAAGATGATTCAAGGGTCAGCTTTACCCTAACGTTGAAAGCCTAATTGCAGAAGACGGAATATGGCTGTATGCATTTAGCAGGAATTCTCTTGGAAATGGCAAAGTGTGTGAGAGAGGGAGGGAGGTGGAGAGACAGAGAGAAAAAGCCAGGGACAAGCAGAGGAAATGGGGAACACAATAAGAGGAATGATACCGCCAGCCCTCCTCCTCCAGACACATTGGGGAATTCCTTAAGGAGCAATCAAAGCATCACAAAAGATGGAATGACCTAGCGAAGGACACAGGAAGACCAGAAGCAGAGCAGGGATGACTACTTGGAACATCATGGTTTGTTCACAGCTTCACATCTCAGCCACCATTGGCTGGGGAGGACCACACTTGCTCCAGGGATGCAGATAAAACCCACTCCATTTTCAGAAATGGCTTTTTATGATACAATTCAAAGGCAACAACATCCCAGTACCTTCCGTTCTCCCCTCCCCTCCCCTCCACATTTCCTTCTCCAGACTTTCCGTTTGCTCCTCTGTGCTCTTTGCTTTCCTGCCAAGCTGTGAGAAGCAACCCAGATTTGGCTACAGCCATCTCCAACTCCCTAATCTAAACAAATGGAAACAATTTGTCCGCTCCAGAGCCTCATGTTAGGCATCCTCCAGCTTTTCCTCAAATAACTCGAGAGATACAGTAAACCTGCTGATGCTGCTGTTCTGCCTTCGGTGGGAAGCAAGCAAAAATTGATTCCCTTATATGCCTCAGCCAGGAATGGACCCACCAAACCCTCTCACACAGTTTTTGGGAAGAGAAGCCAGGAAAGCCTCCAGTTGGGATTTCCAACTGGCCAGAATGTGATTCTCTTTGCTTGTTGCCAGAACGGGAGGGTGCAAAGCCAGGAAAATCAAGTCCAATTTAGCACTTAAGAGAGCATACATTAAATGTTACCATGCACTTGGGCCCTTTATAGTATTGCACAGCAGCAGCGGCTGTCTCTACCCTGAAAGCTGTCAGTGGGAATGCTCTGCAGCTCTTAAATAGGTTGTGCAAAGAAGATGACTGGTACCATATTGTAGGGGGCATCCAGGGAGACTTGCATTCGTAGGTGTTGGTCTCTCTGTTATCAAAGAAGACAAGTTGGTGACAGCCAAAAGCAGAGCCTGCGCCATGAACAACACAGGAAAAGAGATCAGAAGCTGCCGTATACTGAATCAGACCATTGGTCCCTCTAGCTCAGTATGGCCTGGCAGTGGCTCCCCAGAATTTCTTCCCAGCCTTACCTGGAGGTACCAGGGATTGAACATAGGACCTTCTCTATGCATAGATGCTGCACCACTGAACTACAGACCTTCCCCAATGAATGCCGTTTGTGCAGTTTTCAGTGGGACTGCAGCGTTGATAGAAATTATTTTCATTTTTTCTTTAAAAAGAGAGTATTATCTTTTTGAATATATCAGCTGGATGTATACATACACACATTTTTATTTAAATTGCATTATCTGTTGGCTATTTCAATACTACTGCTGTTACTAATAGATTGGCTTATTGTCATAGTAACTTAAATCATTTCCAAGACTTCTTTCCCAACATTGTTGTAATTTGTTGTTTGATTTCAGCACTGAATACATTTCTGCCAACAATCCAGAGAGTCTTTTATTGTCACACATGCTTCCCACATTTTTTAATATAATACATTATCTTATACAACATCACTCTAGTCTATGCCATATATTTTATTTCCAGTTCTCTACTGGTGGAAATTCCTGTTTCCTTCCATTTTGAGCCATTAATACTTGAGCAATGACAAACATATTGCCTAGCCTTTCCTGATACTTATTATGAATTAGCCCAGCCAGTCCACCAAATATGATAGCAAAACTGTGAGAACTATTACCAGCTTGCACCCAGGATTACTTTAACTGCACACATCCAACATTAAAAGGTGCCCAATCTTGAGCTCCAACAGGATATGTTGTGAAAGAAACAATTCACACAACCTTTGTTTCCTCCCTCACAACACCAGGACCTGGGTTCATACAATGAAGCTGAATGGTAGAAAATAATGGTTCAGTAGCACCTTAGTAGCATGCACACGAAAGCTCATAAGCTCATACCAAGAACAAACTTAGTTGGTCTCTAAGGTGCTACTGGACACACACACACACACACACACACACACACATATATATATATATCTACTGCGTCAGACCAACATGGCTACCTACCTGAAGGTAGAAGATAGGAGCAGTCAAAACATAGTGCGTAGTTGAATTATGGAATTCACTGCTACAAGATGTTGTGTTGGCCATCAATCTAGATGGCTTTAAAAAGGCGTGAGGGAAATTCCTGGAGGAATCATAAAATTATAGAGTTAGAAGGTCCTCCAAGGGCCATCTAGTCCAATGCCCTGCAATGCAGGAATCTCTACTAAAGCATCCCTGATGGATGCCACCCAACCTCTGCTTTAAAACCACAAAGGAAGGAGTCCACCAACTCCCAAAAGGAGACCGTTCCACTGTTAGACAGCTCGTATTGTCAGAAAGCTCCTCCTGAGGTTTAGTTGGAATCTCCTTTCTGGTAACTTAATCCATTGGTTTGGGTCCTATCTTCTGAAGCAGAAGAAAACAAGCTTGCCCCATCCTCCACATGACAGCCCTTTAGATATTTGAAGATGACTATCATATCTCCTCTCAGTCTCCTCTTTCCCAGGCTAAACATACCCAGCTCCTTCAACGGTTCCTCATAAGGCTTGGTTTCCAGACCCCGTGATAATCTTGGTCACCCTCCTCTGCACAGGTTAGAAGCTGTCTTTTATTGAGTCAGACCACTAGTCCACTTTGCTCAGTATGAAGAGGCATCTAGCCAAGTGAGGTGGGGAAAGGGCCACTCCTTTGTCACTATAGTAACAGAGCTTACTCTATGAGATGCTGATGGGTACTTAGCTGAGTGGTACTTAGCTGAGTGGGATGCGGGTGGCACTGTGGGTTAAACCACAGAGCCTAGGGCTTGCCGATCAGAAGGTCGGCGGTTCGAATCCCTGCGACGGGGTGAGCTCCCGTTGCTCGGTCCCAGCTCCTGCCAACCTAGCAGCTCGAAAGCACATTAAAGTGCAAGTAGATAAATAGGTACCGCTCCGGCGGGAAGGTAAACGGCGTTTCCGTGCGCTGCTCTGGTTTGCCAGAAGTGGCTTAGTCATGCTGGCCACATGACCCGGAAGCTGTACGCCGGCTCCCTCGGCCAATAAAGCGAGATGAGCGCCGCAACCCCAGAGTCGGTCACGACTGGACCTAATGGTCAGGGGTCCCTTTACCTTTACTTAGCTGAGTGGATAAGGCCATGATCTTAACACAGGAGCTGGTTTGACTGGTTCAGCAGGCTTCCTCTTATGGATCCTAACCTTACATACATTGGATCATAGGCCTAGATGGTACCCACAGATATCATCCAGACCAAACCCTAGAACCATAAAATTGTAGAATTAGAAGGGACCCCAAGGGCCATTTAGTCCAACCCCCTGCAATGCCCATGTGAGGATTGAACCCATGACCCTGGCATTATCAACAACACGCCAGCTAAGCTAACTGCCAAACCCACAACAATATTGTGAAATCTGGACAGGAATATGAGCTGCCACACCAGCCACCTAGTTCACCTTCCCCACTGTGATGAGCTGTTTCTAAAGCCACATCTATATCTAACAATTAGCAGCAGAAAGTGTTGTGCAAATCTTTTGGAGTGAGGCATCTCTTTTTGGGCGGGTGATGCTAAGATACCGGTAATTCACCTCGGTTCTGACACGAAGGTCAGCATCCATTTCTGTGTTTCAACAGAGGACAGGCTGCAATTCCTTCACTCCCTTCCCTGGGCTGGGGGCCCAGCCCGCCCGCGCTTACTCCCAAGTAGACATGCCTCCCTCCACCCTTCCTCTGGCCCAGCAAAGGGGCCGGGATGATCAGGCACGGAGCCAGGAAGGAGGCAGGATCTGCTCTTTTTTGCAGAGGAAAGAGTTAACGCGGGAGAAACCTAACACCCGCTGGAGCCGTAGAGCCCAAACGCGGAGGGGAGAAAGGGGACGGGACGGGAGCCTCGCAGGCGGGCTGTGCCGGCGGTTTGAGTTTCGTCTGCCAACAACAAGCTATTAAAGACATGGGACTCCGGGCTGGCTTGGCTAGCAGAGGGGATCCAGTGTGCAGAGGGGACTGACCGGCAAGGCAGAGGAGCGGAAACTTTCAGGGATTTTGAAAGAAGGCGGCGGCGACGCGCCACACTTCCAGGGTGAGCCTGCTGGTGGTCACGGGCTAGGTGTCCCGAGGGAGGGATCCAGGCAAAGAAGAACTCCTTGGCCTTCCGCCCCTTTGCAGCCCCCCGTTCCCTCCTCCGTGTCACTTTTGCGCGCGTGCGTGTGTATGCTTAGCTTGCAAAACTCCAGCCCGGACGCCCCTAATCAAACGCACATGCCTCGGCAGCAGCAGCTTTTGCCTTCCCCTCGCGCTCCAGCCGTGCCAGCACCTCCGCCTCTTCTGCAAGGCTTGCATATTCCTGCTTCCACAGCCGCTCTGCAAACTTCCAAAGGGGTGGAGGATCAAAAGAACACATGGATTATCTTCTTCTTCTTCTTCTTCTTCTTCTTCTTCTTCTTCTTCTTCTTCTTCTTCTTCTTCTTCTTCTTCTTCTTCTTCTTTCAAATGCAAGGGGTGCTGCCTCACCAGAGGGCAGAAGTCAGCTGCCTTTTAGACAGTTTTCCGAAACGCACGCGAGGTAGGTCTTAGCAGGCACGGTTTGCTAGAGCGGAAACGGAGCTCTTCTCTCCTTCCCCATCCCTAGCAGAAATAATATTTTTTTTATTTAAAAAAAAAATGTGCAAATGCCCTGTCAAGCAACAAACCTTCCATTTGAATGAGGGTTTTGGTTTTTGTTCTGGGTTTTTGTTTGTTTGTTTTGCTCCAGCTTTCCTTCCCATTTTGCAGATCACAAAACTGAGGCAGGCTATTATCTGGAGTTCTCAATTGCACACATGTGCAGACTGAAATTAAAGCATCCTTTCAGATGTTTGGTTAGGGTGGGCACTGCAGACAAACTGCCCCACCTAAAAATTGATAGGGGGAAGGGCTCATTGGTACAGCATCTCAGGGAGAGAGCACCTTTGTTGCATGCAGAAGGTCCCAGGTTCAGTCCTCTCAAGCATCTCCAGGTAGGCCTGGGAATGCCCCCTGCCTGAAACCCTGGAGAACTGCTGCCAGTCCGTGTAGACAGAACTGAGCTAGATTGACAGATGGAACTGACTTGGTATAAGTCAGCTTCCTATGCTACTATGTTCATAAGATTTAAACACACACATACACACCAGACTTTTAACATTTCTAATACTACTGAGATTTCATTTTTAGAACAGGAAACTTTCTGGCAAGGAAGAAAGATCAGTTAACAATCTAAACTCTGCCTTCCTGACTGGATGAGCTGTGTTCATCCAAAATGCTCCCTGAATGGGAGGGATCTTTCAAGATCACTATAAATAATACTTATCTCAGTTAAGTCATCCTGGAGGGAAATATCCCCTTGTAATTACTGTGATGTCTGTAGTCATGGCAGGGGGCTTAAGAATGGTGCTGAAAAGGGGTAACTTAAGAAAGTTATTATATAAGGAAGGTGTACATTAGCACATATTATTGTTTTCCCGCTTATGGTACCTTTCTAAAGGTAACATGATAAATTATAGGAACAAGACTAAATGTAATGTGGAAGGTCTGTTGATAAGATCTCTTTATGTCTTCTTGTTTGGTTAAAAGCAACTGCTGGAGGAGGGGGAATCTGGATTGCAGGGTGGCGAAGAGGGACTACCCTTCACACCCACAATCCACACCATTTTCCCATCTTAAATAAAGATGCGAACAAACAAAAAAGCGAAAGGGAGATACAGGAACAACACAGGTCCCTGTAGTTAATAACAATGCCTGATGGCAGCTGTCAATCAGAGAGACTTCACAGCAGGGAAAGTTAATCTCCTCCTCCTCCATTGCTGCAACCCCGATCCGAATCCCACTCCCATGGGTGCTTTTAACTGAAGATAAAGGACTCTGAGAAATCCAATCACAGAGCTTCCACATCACATCCTGTTTGTCCCATACGTAGCCTCTTGCCCTTATCAAGCTTTCCGTTGGCCAGTGAAGGAATTACTGGTTTTCAAGTTGTTTCTTTGATGCTCCTGGAGATGTATCACCTCTACCACATGTTCTGTACAACCAATGGAGTGATCCTGTGCAGGTCTACTCAAAAGAAAAGGTCCATTGAGGACGTATGCAGAAGATTGCGGCCCACAGGAGCTATTCATCATCTCTGAGTGCAGAAGGAACAACCGTGTCACTTGCTGTAAAGTAATTTACCATATGTGCAAACAGGAAATACCTAGAAAGAAGAGAGAGAGAGAGAATTGTCTTCACAGAGGTGCTATATCAATGCTTTCAGGTTTCAAAAACATGACTGACAACCTCTCATTACAAGAGAACAACACATTTGGTATTTTAAGGGGGCTTGAGAAGTTGGGTTGTATAAACTCTTACAATGGCGGGGTGGTACTCAACTAAGTCTTTACTTAGAGTAGACTGAAATGAACAAACTTTTAAATTAGTCTACTCTGAGTAAAATCTTAGTTGAATACCACCCCTACACTGTAAGACATGGGTAGGCAAACTAAGGCCTGTGGGCCGGATCAGGCCCAATTGCCTTCTGGATCTGGTCTGCGGACAGTCCGGGAACCACTGCATGGATCGCCAGCATGCACGCTCTTTCCCTCTCCCTCCCTCTCCTTCACAGGGCAGCGGCGGCAGCAGCAGCAGCGGTGGCACCGGCGCCTCCTCCCTCCCTCCTGGCTTCTCCCCGCCCTGCCTAGAGAAGGAAGGGAGCTGGGCTTTGTTGGTGCCAGCAGCTGCACTTGAGCAGCTGCCATTTTAAGCAGGCCCTCTCCAGAGCCCGTTCGTGCGCCGCTCATTGTCCTGCCGCCACCGTCAGCCCCTGCCGCTCGCAAAACACAGGTAAGCAGCCATGGGGGCTCATGGTGCTCTTGCATCATTTCTTTTTTCAAAATATAGTTCAGCCCCTCACAAGGTCTGAGGTACAGTGGACCAGCCCCCTGCTGAAAAAGTTTGCTGACCCCTGCTGTAAGAGTTTATCCAACCCATCTCCTCAAACCCCCCAAAATATCAAGAATGTTCCCTCATGACTAGAGGCACTCAGCCATGTTTTTGAAACCTGAAAGGACTGATATAGCACCTCTCTGAAGAGGATTCGCTCTCGCTCTTCTTTCTTTCTGCTTGCTTGCCCTACCTTCTCCTTGCTTCTGAGGCATTTTTAGTCACAGAGAATCGTGGTCCAGAAACACCCTGTCCTTTCACATCCTCTCGATTTCAGTTGTCTTTGTGTTTCCTTCTCTTCTCTGCCAGGTCACTATGGAAACCATCCAAATGCAAGTACCTTTGGTCTTCCTTGTACTCCCACTATTTGTATTTGGGGCGCCCGCTGATGCGTCTGGCCCCCAAGAAGTCACCATCACCTCGAGCAGTTGCAAACGTTGCTGTGATTCCCTGGATGCACCTGGCTCCTCTGAGGCCAGTCCCGACAGAAACAGTCCCCACTCCTTGCCATATATTATTCCAGAGGTGCGTCCATATATCAACATTACCATTCTGAAGGGTAAGTGTATATTCAGCTGCTACTCCTCTCCCTTCATTCTTTCCTTCCAGCTTTACCTCAGTGCCTAAAATCATATTTTAAGCTTCCCAATGGGCTGGGGGATGTACTTGAATTTTGCCTGTTACTTTGTAAACTTCCATGTGAAGTGTCGTTACTATATACAGTGGTACCTCGGGTTACATACACTTCAGGTTACAGACTCCGCTAACCCAGAAATAGTACCTCGGGTTAAGAACTTTGCTTCAGGATGAGAACAGAAATCGTGCTCCGGCGGCGCAGCAGCAGCAGGAGGCCCCATTAGCTAAAGTGGTACTTCAGGTTAAGAACAGTTTCAGGTTAAGAACAGACCTCCAGAACGAATTAAGTATGTAACCAGAGGTACCACTGTATACACTTGTGTGTATATAACATATATAGAAATGTAATTTGAGTGGTTAATGTGCAAAGCAACTGGCCATTGTGCACATTTACCAGGCCTCATGGAGAGCACATAATCCTTCCATGAAGAGGAAAATGTGTGCATTTCCCGGTCAATCAATGGGGCTTGTTGGGGATTATGCATGCTGGCCAGAGAATGTACAAAATCCAATCAAGATATGCACATTTTCCAATGTCTGTTGGCAATTAGGCATATTGACTATGAAAAGTGCACAATTTCCTCTTCATGAAAGGATTATGGGTAGAATTCAATGTCACACTAAGGCCATGTTCCATCAGCCCAAGCTTTTCAGATTGCCAGATAAAACAATCTCCTCCACCCCTGCACAGTGTTCAGGGTGTGCGTCTCCTGGCCATCCAAAGCAGAACTGGGGAGGGTATGGAGGGAGGAAATGTTGGTGGGGGAAGCTAGTGGGATTCACTGCCCTGGCTTTCCTAAGTGCAGCAACCCAAATGAATCTGACCCTATGTGAACATTCTCCATAAGACCCGATGAATGTGCACAACGGTCAGTTGTTACACATATTAACCACTCAATTCACATTCCCCTGAATATGTACAATATGATTGTGTGTGTGTGTGTGTGTGTGTGTGTGTGTGTGTGTGTGTATCTAAGCCCAGTACAAGCTTGTTTGTAACTAAAGTTGCCCATAAGTAACATTCCTCAATGCTGGGTAAGTTGCTCATCTGTCTGTAGCAGAACCATAAAAGTCCAAGGAATGGCTCCATTTGGTTAGAAAAGCCTGAAATCAGTTCAGGCCCAAGACCAAAAGTTATCCTCTTCAGGCCAAATGTAAAGCAGACAGAGGTTGCCAGCCTGCAACTAATTGAGGAAAGTCTGCCTAGTGGTAGCATATGTTTTACTTGGCTGCAGCCTCATATCTCTGAGGGCTTCCAAAGACTCTCCTTCTCCAGTTGTCCTTGCATGTGGGACATAGCTGCTGCTTTTGCCCCGCCTTCCGTCACAGATCTTTCCCCACAGCCCACCTCCTTCACTGGCAGCTGTGTCGTCCTTTTATCACGATGACTGCCAAGGATGCTGCAAAATGCATGGAAACACATTGTAAGAGAGGGTTCCAAGCCCACCAACCAAACCATGGGTAACCTAAGCCTTTGCTTTCTCTTTCTCTCTCTCCCGCCACAGGAGATAAAGGAGATCAAGGAGAACCTGGGATTCCTGGGAAATGGGGCAAAGAGGGGCCACCGGGTGAACGGGGAGCCCCGGGCCCAAAGGGCAGCAAAGGGCAGATGGGTGCCCCTGGAGATCCTTGCAAGCACCAGTACGCGGCCTTCTCGGTCGGCCGCAAGAAGGCGCTCCACAGCAGCGAAGGCTACCAGGCCTTGATCTTTGACACGGTCTTCGTGAACCTCTACAGCCACTTTGACATGTTCAAGGGCAAGTTCTACTGCTACGTGGCTGGCCTGTACTTCTTCAGCCTGAACGTCCACACCTGGAACTTCAAGGAGACCTACATGCACGTCATGCGGAATGACCAGGAGGAGGTCATCCTCTACGCCCAGCCCAGCGACCGCAGCATCATGCAGAGCCAAAGCCTGATGCTGGAGCTGCGGGAGAACGATGAGGTCTGGGTGCGCCTCTACAAGCGAGAGCGCGACAACGCCATCTACAGTGACAACGTGGACATCTACATCACCTTCAGCGGCTACCTGATCAAGCCCAGCCTTGAGTAGCTGCTTGCCTCTCAAGCACCTCCGCTGCCCTCCTAAGCATTACTGTAACACTGCCTGTAAGCTGCTGCAAATCATTCACAGAAGGACTGGAAGCATCCGAAGAATGCGGGGCCATTCGAGAAGACCATTTCACTAGAAAATTAAGATGGAAGAAGGGGAATGTTTTGCTGACCAATTCATAAGCCTGCTTGTTTTCAGACAAGATCGTGAGGTTAGAGCTGGGCTTTCTAGGTTATCTGAAATCTTCACACCTGCTACCCCAGACATTTCCCTCATGGGAATATTGGTGCATGGACTTGGAAAGTGGTCTTCCTTACCAGAATGCCCTAAGTGCTCTTGTTGTACATGAAGGACACAGTTGAATTGAGCAGTCTCAAGTGAGTGACATCTTCATATAAATTCCAAGCTAAACACACCCCGGCAGCCACTATTTTTGCACAATGAGTGCCCTTGGTGCAATGAGACCTTCCTCCCTCTTCTCCAAAATCTGGTTGGGAGGGTCAGGAGAACCCCCAAAAAAGCTTATGCAGAGAGGGGAGGCAATTCTGCCTGGCAAGTAGAAATGCTTTCTCTGATGGAGCAATTGCCATAGCTCGACTCTGAATCCCACCCATTGTGTGCATGCCATGCTCGTCTCTGAACAGGTTTTTAGCTCTGTAGGCTGAAATTTAGGTCTCTTCAGTAGGCTGTGCACACAAAGGTCAGAATCCAGCCCACAAATTGTGCATGAGATCAATGGGGCTTACACAACTGTGAACTGGATCGTAGCCTGTGATTTTAGAGCTTGTCAGCTGAACAGTCAAGGTTTAAAATAGGTGTGCAAAAGATACAGGGAAGTGTAAAGAAAGGAATGGTGCAATTACCTTTTTGTAAACTTCTGTTTGCCATTGCCGTGCAGGGACATTTGCACATATGGGGAATATGGGCCTAGACTGGTGCCCAGTTAACTTTGATGGTGCCTTAGGTGTTGAAGAAATAAGTCAGCTCAGGCTGGGGCAAACATCAGAGGAAAGAAGGCTTTTAGAGGGAACATTTTTTCTGGTTCTCATAAGTGAGACCTGCACCTATGTACAGGCAATGATCATTTTGCGTGGGGGTTGCTTTCATGATCCCCTCATACACATTGACAGAGCCCACTCCACCCCATTATATCCCCACCCCCTTTTCCAGCCATTTCCAGGTTGCAGTGATGCACATGTGCACAGTCATGCATGCTTTAAAGCGCCGTTGCCTCTACTACACTGTAGAGTGCTTTTGTTCAAGATTCCAACTAGCCAGCCCTACCACTTTGAAGATACTCCATTCCATGCCCTTATTTCCTGCTTTTCCATCCCACCCCTTCCATCAGTTAGTCAGTATTCTGTGCCCATTGAGCATACCCAGTCCTTAGGATTTTTTCCTTTAAAAAATGAGTACCTGTGCAAACCTTGGGTCCCACCCCCACCCCACCCCGACTCTCTGTAGCTATCACTTTTTTGAGCATTGCTCTTTGCTATACATCATGATCCAAACAAAGATAATGAATTCACTATTAATAATATATAACACATTAATCCTGGGTTGCTTTAAAAAAATGAAAGTCATATTGCAGGCAGTGGCACAACACTGACTAGCTCCTATTCCTGCAGGCAATTCATCAGGAAGCAGTCTGGGATAGAGCAGGGAATGGGTAGCTGTCCATCATAGGAAAGAGACCATAGCTCAGTAGTAGAAAGCCCCAGGTTCAGTTCCCCATGTCTACCTAAAAGTATCTTAAGTAGCAGAGCTGGAGACACCTTGTCTGAATCCTTGGGAAGCTGCTGTCCTGGATTAGTCAGTCCTGGACTAGATGGACTAACAGTATGACTCGAGAGAAGAAAGCTTTAATGTTCTTCATCAGAAGAAGGAGTAGCAGATGATTTCTCTATTCACCTTGTACTACCATGTGGGCACGGTAGGTGGTTACCCCCCCCCCCCGTTCCTTGTCTTATGCATATCCAGCAAGCTGCAGCCAGTTTAGAAGGTAGCAAAAGCAACAACCCTTTTCCACCCACTGGCAAGCTACTTTCACTCATCCAGAACGCTGCTCCACCTGTTATATAGGGATGATGTTGCTGATCACCCTCACAGGGATTTTGCCAGGATTGCAGATAGCGCTGGGCAATATCTGGTTTTCAACATCATGATATATCACCAGCTAAACACAATGTCTGAAATAAGGTTGGAGCTATGTACAGGCATTGGCTGGCTTCACGGTTTTTCCTGCATTGTAAATTTCATATAGCACACACAAACACATCATGATTCATGATATATTGCCAGGTCAAAACTTATGAAACCGATATCACAATATTGGTATCAATCCAGTTTTGGACAATATATTGATAAATCGCCCAGCCCTAACTGCAGAGGTACTTTGTGTAAAGCACTCTGAAGTTTCTAAAGGGCTATGTAGTTGGCATATGGCTGTGTGCAATGTTTAGCTGCAACTTTTTATGCACAAGCTGTGAATCTGCACATGCCCCACCAAGCGTACTCGCTGCCTCTCCCACTGCCATGTGGCCAAGTGTGCAGAGACAGCAGATAGGAAAGCAGAGCTCTCCTTCCAAGTTGACAGGTCTCTCAGGGGGCAAAGGGCTATGTGGGGGCAGACATTTTTGCTTTGACCCCCATGGAGAGCCCTGCAGAGCAAGGTTATGAGAAAGAGTCAGGAAAGGGGGCTTTCTTCAGATGGGGAAGTCCGGGACTGATTGGACAAGGAACCAAATTCCTCCTCTCTGCAAGGCATAAACGGAGAAACCAGCTGTTGTATATTTGCAACGCGTGGCGTCCCTGTGTCTCTCTAGGGAACAGCAGGAATTTCTAGCACTGAATCGCTTCCAGACCTGAGCTCTGAATTCCTCGAGCCTCTGCTTCCATTCCAATGTCAGCAGAGCTCTCAAATGTTCCTACGGAGAAGTTCTGCGTTTAAAGTCAATAAGGCAAAGTGTGTGGTGTGTCGGTGTTTACTGCTTGCTTTTTGGTGCAAGAGGCTTCTGACTTTTAAAGAAGCTCCTTTGGTGCTAAACCAGGATCCTGGAGATTAATTGGTGCTTAATGAGAGATATATTGCAGACATAGTGGACTGTGGAATTTATGGTGCTTTATAGAGAACCCAAATCCCCCAACCAGATTTCTTGTGTGTGTGTATATTTTCCTAAATATTAAAACTTCTTTATTGCACTTTGAGATGGTTTTTCTCCTTTTGTTCCCACCCTGTTTCTCTGTGAAGCAGCTATGACACTGTGTTGTGCAAGAGCCACGTTACATCCTTTCTACTTCTGCTCTGCAGGATCTGTCAAGATTTTAGCTGCTTAAGAATTGAACGCTTTGTTTCTTTGCAAAAGAGGGGCATTTCTAAAAAGAGGGGAGACCCGGTATAGAGGTATGGCTGGAGGACTGGAACTGGGGGGAAGCTGTAGCTCAGAAGTAGAGTATCTGCTTCCTACACAGGATGTCCCGGGTTCAAGTCTCAACACCTCCAGGTGGGGCAGGGAATGGCCCTTACCTGAAACCCTTGTGAGCTGACAGCCCTGAGTACATGGAGCAATGCTCTGACTCTGCTTCCTGTGTTCTTATGAGCATGGGAAACCTCAGGCTCTGTTGCTCAACAGGAACATGAGCTCAACAGTTGACTTTGGGCAAGATACTGCCTTTCAGTCTTACTTGCCTACAGATGTAGTGCAGCTAGAAAGCTGCTCCTTGGAGGAAGTGCAGGATAACAGTACATAACATGAAAGCTAATTTAGGAGTAGCCCCATTCATCTCATTGGGATTATCTTCTGGGTAACCATGCATAGGCAGCTGTATGTTTCAGAATGTCTGGGACTGTTTACTTTGGAGAAAGGGCAGATAAGAGGTGACATGATAGAAGTTTTATCAAATTATTTATGGGATGGAGAATGTGGATCAAGACAAGTTTTTCACCCTCCTAGCCCTAGAACTCTTGAACAACCAATGAAGCGGAAGGTTGGAAGATTCAGACAGTACTTCTTAATGCATCACAGTCTTAAAATATGGAACTTGCTCCTGCAGGAGATGTGATGGACCACCAACCAAGATGGCTTTGAAAGACAAATCCATGATGGCTATGCTTTGCCTGCATACTTGAAGGCAGCAATGCTTTTGAATGCCAGTTGCTGTGAACTGCAGGAGGAGAGAGTGGTCTTGTGTTTGAATCCTGCTTGCGGGTTTCCCACAGGCATCTGGTTGGCCATTTTGAGAGCAGGATGCTGGACTCGATGGACCATGGGCCTGATCCAGCAGGGCTCTTCTTGAATCCCATAAACTAATCAGATGTTTGGCATAGCTTCCAACTCCACATGGTCTCGGCTTAGAAAAGATAACATCTCATGTCACACAGCCACAACAAATGCCACACTGCCAAATACTCTACAACTGCCACCTTCACCACAGCACATTTTGATTCTTATCAGTAATAAGGCAGAAGGCAAAACATTTAGCTTCTAGACTTCAGTATCTCTGGTGCTAGTCACCTGATAAATATCTGGTTTTAGTGGTTAACTGCATCCTTCCAGGATCCAAAGCACACCTAACAATCATATCACAACAGCAACAACAACAACTGGCTGATAGGTGAGGCCAGGCTGGTTTTCCCCATGCCCTGATGTTGTGCCTCGGAAGCAGAGGGTGCAGTTTCCCAGTGGCCCTTGCTGCCCTGCTTGGTGGGAGAGGCCAGAGGATGCCTCCCTTTGGTTCTGCAGTCCTGGGACAACTGGCTGTTGGACCAGAATTTTCTTCCTTGTGGAAAGAGGGGAAGCAAACTCACTTTAGAGAGATATAATGCATGCATGCAGAACTGCGTGCCTTGTGTGGTTAAACTCTAGAATTTGGGTTTCCAGAACACACAATTTGAGTCTTTGTTTTAGTGTGAATAGTTTGCCTCTGAACTGAAGACTATTGCCCTGGTCCCCGCTGTGTGACATCAGGTCAGGAGTCACTAATACTGCTCCACCTCTCACTCTCCTTCTCTGAATGTTAACTTGGAATTAATGACCTTCACAAAACTCAACCTGCAGGGGTCACTAGAGAAGTACTGGAAAAGAGGAGTGCAAAGCCACTTGATTGACACTTTGGCCCTATAACTAACACTTAATGAAGCTGGAAATAAGAGTCTCATGGAAGAACAGGAACCTTTTTCTAATTGGCTAGGAACAGCAGTATTTCCTTCTGGAATTTTTTTGTATGTCCATTTTGTTTTAGGAACTGGAAGTAGAGAAAAAACACACGCACAACATCTCCAGATTGACTTTTACAAGCTTTGAAAATGATTACATGAGAAGAACTGTGGGGTTTGATTCAAGGGCATGTGGAAAGGGAAGGTTTGAGGCATCACGTTCATGGCTGTGGGTGAAGGGCTTGGACAAGCTGCAGAAATAAAACAAGTCAGATTGAATTGGTTTTGCTCAAGGGATCAAGGATAACACACAAAGGTCTTTCTGAATTTCTTTTCAGGGGTGCTGAGTGTTTTTAAATATCTCCAAAATAATGTGACAGAAAGTGGAAGGACAACCAAAATATCCTATATTCCCTCAGACCCAGCTCATGTAAACAGAGGAGACTGTAAACCTGTTTCTAGACTCTACTACTTTTCGATATAGGGACTCCCTATCAAAAATAATAATAAAATCCCTTCATGTGGAAAACTCTTGTCAGGCTTATGGCTTCCAGCTTCACCTTCTCTCTGACATGCCATTTTCTCTGTGTATAAATATTTCCCCCTCTCAATACCAGTTCCTGGGGCTACAAGGAAGCAGTGGGCTGCTGCACTCAGGTCCTGCTTGTGGACTTTCCATGGGCATGTGGCTTGATCACTGCAAGAACAGGATGTTGGACTAAATGGGGCTTTGATTTAACTCAGCAGGGCTTTTCTTATATTCTTAAGTAAGCCTCAAGAGGGGGACATGGTAGAGATGTATAAAATTGTATGTGAGGAGAAAGCGGGAAGAGATAATTTTTTTCTCCCTCATAACACTGGAGCTCAGGAACATCCACAAAACTGAATGTTGGAATATTCAGGACAGACATAATAAAGTTCTTCTTCGCACTGTGCCTTGTTAAACTATGGGATTCACTTCCATGAGAGATAGTGGTAGCGGCCAACTTGTATGGCTTTAAATGTCATGAAAGTTAAGACCATCCTTGGCTACCAGCCATGGTGCCTAGGTTCTGCTTCTGCTGCTGGACTCAGATTGCCTCTGAATGCAAGTTGCTGGAAATCACAAGGGCAGGGTGTGCTGCTGTTGACCACATGTCCTGCTTCTTAGTTTCCCAAAGGCAGCTGGTTGGCCTCTGTGAGAACAGGATGCTGGACTAGATGGGCCTATGGCCTGATCCAGCAGGGGCTCTTACACATTTATGCTCTGTATCTACTGCCAGTGTTGAACAAAGTCCTGTCCTACTGCTCGTGTTGAAGGAAGCTTCAACAGCCCAGTTTGTTTTCATACGTGGAAGGAAAAGAGAGGGCATCATTTTGTCCTTCACCTCAGTTAGCAGACCTAACTTGAACTGAGAAGAAACCTCTTTCGCCGGCCCTAACTTCCCTGTGCACTGTCACCTGCATTGCCTTTCCCCCACCTAACCCAACTCTGCAATTGACTGGGGGAGAAATGCCTGGGATAAAGGAGGTTAAGATAGGGGAAAGTTGCACTCCCCTAATTTTTGAGCCCCTTTTTGATGTTGAAAACACACATACACTTTGTTTAACAAAACCTGGCTGATGGTATCGTGTTTCATTTGGCCTTCCAAATACTGACCCAAATGTGTGGTTTCCTCTTTCTTACAAGCTGTAAATCTGATAAAAATCTATACAAACAGAAATAGACTTTCTAGAAGGAAAGTGCTTTCTTCTTGGTACAGAAGTGTTTGGTGCCTTATATATGTTGGCTAGGTCAGCCAGGGATGGTTCCAGGTTTGAGCAGGTCCTGGGCAAAGTGAATCCTGGGGGTGCTTATCAGGCAACAGTGGCAGCAGTGCTCTGAGCTGCACCAAACAACTGGGTCCAGCCACCACTTGTATTAAGGCATCACTCTGGGGCAGAGGTTTTCAACCTCTTTGGGCCCACGGCTCCCATGACCACATTCTTTCTGTGACACCCCTGTGGGTCTCAGGAGCCCAGTTATGTCACCCCTTGCCTACAGAGCCGGCAGCCCCTCATCCCTTTTCGAACAGCCTCCTTTGTGGAGTGTTCCCTCAGCCTCCTCTCTTCTCCCCCTCTCCTTGGGAGTCCTCTGGGCAGCTGCAGCTTCCGCCCTGGTTCTCTGAGCTGCCCCCTGCCCCAAAGAGAGGTGCCTCCCCACACTGCCCCACAGGGACCTGGGAAGCACTCCCTGGCCAGCCCCAGAGGCACCATTCTCCTGGGGAGCTTGTAGCCAGAGCTGCTGCAACGAACAGCTGTGCAAGCCTTTGGGAGGCAGAGATGCAAGAGGGCATCAGAGGAACAGAGGGTAGAAAGGAGGGACAGAGGTCAGTGTTGCCCACAGCACCCCTGACCATCATTCAAGGCACCCCAGGGTGCCAGGGCACACTGGTTGAAAACCATTGCTCTGGGGCATTGTAAGAAATTTTAATGACTGCTGGACCCAGCAATCCAGCACTGCTCAAAAAGCTAGAGCACAGCTGATGTTTTCTGAAAGGTGAGCCCAAGACAGGTGTTAGCTGGGGCTCTGGGCTGTGTAGGAAAGCAGTGTTTAATGTGGCCAGCAGCATGCTTTTGCAGAGGGCAGTGTTGCTGTCCCTTCCAAGACCTCAAAACTTCTCCCCTTTGCTCTGCCAGCTTTTCATATTCCAACAAGACCAGACTTACATTTAAGCACTACCTGGTCACCATAAGCGACAAGGAATTGCATGTTGATGAACGAGTGGGCTGGCAGAGGAGGGTCACAGCACCCTCACTAGACTAGCATTTATTTATTCATTCATTTATCTGCTTATTGCCGGGTAGCAATTTTTGTAGACTTATATGCAAGTCTGGGCAAGACTTCTGGACCTTTTAACAGTTACAAAAACAAACAATTTAAGCGGTGAAGCTTTCCCCATCACATCATGGCATTTACCTTGCCAGGCAGCTGCTAAAGTCACAGGAACTCTGTTGGAAGAAAAGTTGGCAGCCTTTCCATCATCAGTGCACACAGAACCCAATGACAGAAGGCTTGTCCTGGGCATGGGGCAAGAGGAGATTTCCTGGACATCTTGAAATGCACTATAGGGTTTAGAAAGCACCCCCATTCCCCATTAGAACTCGTATCCTTTTCTTCCTCCCACCCCATATTTGCCTATAGGCTGCCATAACAGAAACTTACTTTATTCTATACCCCACCTTTATCTTTTGAAGGATCTCAAGGTGTACATCATGCTCCTCCTCCCCATTTCATCATCACAACAACTCTGTGAGGCAGATTAGGCTTTGAGAAGCAGTGGCTGGCCCAAGGCCACCTATTGAGCTTCATGGCTGAGTGGGGATTC